ACTCTGTGCCCCCACCCCGGGACCCTGGGGCTCTGCTCAGATACCCTGGACCCTCCTTCCTGCCCTGCCAGGGCTGCCCAGGTGTCACAGTGAGCCCATGGGCACTCTGTGCCCCCTCCCCGGGACTCTGGGGCTCTGATCAGATAACCCTGGACCCTCCTTCCTGCCCCACGGGAGAGCCAGGGAAGCCCACCCTGCCCAAAGTCTGTACAGACCCCTGACATTTCCTGTTCATCCTCTTCTGCCCCGCTCTCCCATGGACACCACAGAATAAAGAGAGCTGAACCAACATACCTGGGGTAAGAGCCTCTTTTGGGAATCTTTGCCATCTCCTGATATTCCTCCCACCACAGCCTGCTTACCTCTGAGCTAGCCTAGGATATTTTGGGGGCTGTGCAGGGGGGGGAACATCAGGGTGCCACTCCTGGGCCAGAGCTCTGCACTGGGGACAAGGGCTGCGGGGACAGGGACGGGACACAGGAATGGATCCCAGGGGCAGAGGGCAGGGACGGCTGGGATATTGGGAATTGTTCCCTGGGAGGGCGGGCAGGGGCTGGGCTGGAATTCCCAGAGCATTCCCAGCTGGGGCTGCCCCTGCAGCGTCCCAGGCCGGGCTGGACACTGGGCTGGAGCAGCCGGGGACAGTGGGAGGTGTCCCCGTGGCAGGGGTGGCACTGGGTGGCTTTTACAGTCCTGCCAGCCCAAAGCACCCCGGGGTTCTCTGATCCATGCCAACCCAGCCTGGTGCCTTGGAGGGAGCCCCGTTTCTCTGGATGCCCCCCCAGCTTTCCCAGGTGCCAGCTGATGGGCTGGGTGTGCAGGGACAGCCCCTGGCTCGCTGCCACCCTGGGGATGAGCCCCACGGGGACTCCAAGGGCATTTCCTGCACGTTGGGAAGCAGAAGCAACAGCTGCCTCCTGAGTTCCCAAAATCCCTCTTTTCCTGGGCTGGACCCCGGCTTTGCAGACTGAGCACAGGACAGGGAAGGGCAGGACCAGGTCAGGGGAGGGGGTGAGGAGCAGGAGGTCCTGCCCAGGGCTCTGCATGCACAGAGGCTCAATGCAAAGGGGGAAGTGATGCTCGGGGCTTGCTTTGCCTGCCAAACCCCATCTCAGAGCTGCCCGGGCATGGGGCAAACCCTGGGACGGCCAAAAAGGCCATGAGAGCTCCCAGGCTGCTCTTGTGCAACTCCAGGAGTGGATTTTCCCCTGGCAAAGCACTGAAATGACCCAGGCTGAGCAGCACGAGGCAGCTCGGAAGCACCCCCGGCCTCCCCTGCCCGGGGAAGAGTCCAAGTTTGACGGAACATTTTCCACCCAGCCCAAAACAAGGATAACAATTATCACTGGGGAAGTTTCTGTGCAATGAAAACCTGCAGGGAAATGAGAGCAAGGTCAGCACACTGACAAGGGATCCTCAGCCTGAGCAGGCTCCCGCTCCAGCTGGCAGCAGGGCGAGGGCAGACCCCAAAGCAGGCTCAGCCCCACAGCCCCCTTATCTCCCCCTCGGCCCCACAGCCCCCTTATCTCCCCCTCGGCCCCACAGCCCCCTTATCTCCCCCTCGGCCCCACAGCCCCCTTATCTCCCCAGCACAGGCCTGGCTGGGCTCAGCAGGACCAGCGCCGAGGGTGGGAGCCTCTGTTTGTTTTGCTCTTTCTAATCTGGGACTCAAAGTTTCCTCCTGACCAAAGCTGTTTCCAGAGCTCAAAGCCGGCTGGAAGCTCCTGGACAGGCAGAAGCCCCTGAGCTCCCCGTGATCCTTCTCCCACCTGGCTGGACCAGCTCCAGCCCCTGGGATTCTCCTCCAAAAACCAGTGTGGCCCCTCCAGGCTGCAGAGGTGCCACCCACCCTCGAGGCACAGGGTGAGAGCTTCCCTCGTGTTTCCCGTGCTCGGGGCCACGGGTGAAAATGGAGTTTTAAAAGCTCCTGTGATCCTCACTGCCACAAGGGGAAGTGAATTTTCCTTATGCAAGCAAAGCTACAGGAAGGGAGGGAGGCAGACAGCAAATGCAAGAATCATGGAATGGGGCTGGGCTGGGAGGGACCGAAAGGATCATCCAATTCCATCCCTTCCCCTGTCCCAGGAGGCTCCAGAGCCATCCAGCCTGGCCTTGGGCACTCCAGGGATCCAGGGGCAGCCCCAGCAAATCTGGGAATTCCAGCCCAGCCCTCCCCACCCTCCCAGCCAGGAATTCCCTGCCAAGATCCCAGCTCAAGCTCCCCTTTCCCAGTGGGAGCCATTCCCTGGCTCCTGTCCCTCTGTCCCTTGTCCCCAGTCCCTCTCCAGCTCTCCTGGAGCCCCTGGAGGCCCTGGAAGGTGCTGGAAGGTCTCCCTGAAGCCTTCCCAAGCCGCTGGGGATGCCCCTGGCAGCAGGAGCGGTGTCACGGGGTGGCACAGGCTGGACATTGCTCCTGGGGGATCAGCGGCCCCTGAGCAGACCTTTGAGACCAGGAGCAAGGAGCAGGGCTGTGCAGAGCTCCAGGAATCCTCTGTCCCAAGAGCAGGGCTGTGCAGAGCTCCAGGAATCCTCTGTCCCAGGGCAGGGCTGTGCACATCTCCACAAAACCTCTGTCCCAGGGCAGGGCTGTGCACAGCTCCACAAAACCTCTGTCCCAGGGCAGGGCTGTGCAGAGCTCCAGGAATCCTCTGTCCCAGGGCAGGGCTGTGCAGAGCTCCAGGAATCCTCTGTCCCAGGGCAGGGCTGTGCAGAGCTCCAGGAATCCACTGTCCCAAGAGCAGGGCTGTGCAGAGCTCCATAAAACCTCTGTCCCAAGGAGCAGGGCTGTGCACATCTCCACAAAACCTCTGTCTCAGGCCAGGGCTGTGCACAGATCCACAAAACCTCTGTCCCAAGGAGCAGGGCTATGCACATCTCCACAAAACCTCTGTCCCAGGACAGGGCTGTGCACATCTCCACAAAACCTCTGTCCCAAGGAGCAGGGCTGTGCACATCTCCACAAAACCTCTGTCTCAGGCCAGGGCTGTGCACAGATCCACAAAACCTCTGTCCCAAGGAGCAGGGCTGTGCACAGCTCCATAAAACCTCTGTCCCAAGGAGCAGGGCTGTGCACATCTCCACAAAACCTCTGTCCCAAGGAGCAGGGCTGTGCACAGATCCATAAAACCTCTGTCCCAGGGCAGGGCTGTGCACAGCTCCATAAAACCTCTGTCCCAAGAGCAGGGCTGTGCACATCTCCACAAAACCTCTGTTCCAAGAGCAGGGCTGTGCACAGCTCCAGGAATCCTCTGTCCCAGGGCAGGGCTGTGCACATCTCCACAAAACCTCTGTCCCAAGAGCAGGGCTGTGCACAGCTCCAGGAATCCTCTGTCCCAGGGCTGTCCCAGTCCCAGGCTGCTCCCCATCCCCGAGTCTCTCCCGGGGCCCTGGGCAGTGCCCTTCCTCAGCTCCCAGCCCGGCGGCTGGCACGGCTGGGCTGGCAAAGCAGGAGAATACCGGGACGGTGCCAGGCCGCGTCCCGGGGCCGCTCGGCCCTGCCCGGCCCACGCTCGCCCCGGCTCGGGAGCTCTTTCCCCACGGGAGAAGCTGTCCCGGCCCCGCTGTGTGGATCCCGCGCTGCCCGGGCGGCGGCGAGGCCGAATCCTGTCCGAGCCCGCAGCTCCGGGCACCGAGCCAGCACAACCCCGGGGTTCGGGGGACGCTCCCGGAGGCACCGCCGGGTCTGCGACCGAGCCCCCCGAAACTCCTTCCCGAAGGAATTCCGGGCACAGTCCCGCGCTTGGCGAAGGCTCGGAAGCATTCGGATGTTGTGAGCCCTGCTGGGGAGGAGGAGGAGGGTCAGCAATTCCCTGGCGCACTGGGATCTGTGCTGGAGGCAGTGCCAGGTCAGGGTCTGGAGCCCCAAACCCGGCACCCACAAAGCAGGTGACAACGGGGGGGCTGCAAAGCCACCGCAGCTCTCAGGGGACAAAGCACGGAGAGACAGAGCCCTGCGGGGTGCAGAGGGACCCCGGGCCGTGCTGAGCCCTGCCCAGGGCGTGGATGGGTGGGTGGGAGGATGGATGGGTGGGTGGATGGACGGACGGATGCTCCAGTGCCTTGTCCAGCACCATTCCCTTCCAAGGCCCCTTCTCCACGGTCCCTTCCTGGCACAGCCGGGATGTCCCACCCCTCCGGGCACATCCTTCTTCCCGGAGCATCCCCGGGCCCTGCGATGGCCCGAGTCCCGCAGCGTTCTTCCAGGGTCACAGGGTGAGCCCAGCCTCGGGACCCCTGCCCAGGGCACCCGTGCCACCCCTCCTGCGGCGAGCACGGCCCGCAGAAAGCCCAGACGGGGATCTGCCACACCCCAGTCCCCGTGGCACGTCCCTAGGGTGGCCATGGTGATGCCCTTCCTCCTCCAGCAGCCGTCCTGGGGACACAGGGACCCCTGGGCACACAGTGACCCAGTGACAGCCACAGCAGGGCATTGGGGTGTCCGTGTACCCACCCTGGAGCACACAGTGACCCAGTGACAGCCACAGCAGGGCATTGGGGTGTCCGTGTACCCACCCTGGAGCACACAGTGACCCTGCAGTGCCCACCCTGGGGCACACAGTGACCCAGTGACAGCCACAGCAGGGCACTGGGGGGGTTCATGTGCCCACCCTGGGGCACACAGTGACCCAGTGACAGCCATGCCAAGACACTGGGATGTCCATGTGCCCACCCTGGGGCACACAGTGACCCCACTGCCCCTCCAGAGGTACCCAAGGACACCGTGACACCGCCCTGGGACACGGGAGGAGGGCAGGACAGCAGTCCCCGGCACACGGGGGTCCCCGTGCCCACCCTGGGACACGGGAGGAGGGCAGGACAGCAGTC